TCGTAGAAGGCGGCCAATTGTGCGGGTCGTTGAAGATTAAAGTGCCTTTCTCAGAAAAGAAAAATGGATCGCTCCTATCGGCAGGCGTAAGGCTAAGGGTTGTTGGCATTGAGAGCGCTGGGAGAAACCAACATCCTTTTATGCAACACTCTCGGTTTCTTCATGAAATCTCTCCATCGATTGGCAGCCTGTACTGTTCGGATGCCGACAGAGAAGGATTTAGAGCTCTGAGGGCGGGTTTACACAAAATACAATTTAATTTCCCGATTCCTATTGGGTCCGGTGCAAAAGGCGTTCTTGAGGAAGGATCGTCCTCTTCATCGGTTCACTATATCATTGCTGTGTAAGCTATCCCTCTTGTCTCAATTGTCTCTGGAATATTTATTCCTCCGGTAGGTCTATGAAGGTCCTCCCAAGTCGACAACAGTCCCCTTGCGTAGTTCACTTTCATCGAATGTGCCAAATATATCCCATCCTCGACCCAAACTTGTTGCTTCGTCCCTCTCCAACCCCTATTTCCGGAACAGCTGAGGGGTCTCTAGTCTTCGGTACTGGTACTTTGAAGGTTACTGGAATTCTTGAACGATTGGCTTGGATTGCAGGTCAAGTCTGTTGGGTTTACGTTCTAATCGAAAACAACACTACCAAGCGTGTCAAGAATTTGACACTTTCTCTGATTCGTCGCTTGACAGTCTTCAAAGTCTTCTCTGATTCTCTCACACAGTCTTCGGGTCAAGTTGGCTCCGATGTTTGTGAAACCAACCATCGACAAGTTGCGGAGGCGATTCTCGAGGTTGGCCAAAGAGGGTGCAAGGGCCAAGCCAGTGCGAAAGGCTGGTGGCTTGGGGTGGATCCCGGAGGGAGGGCTTCTCCACGACACGGCATTATGATCCCAGTGAGTTGTCATGTCCTCACCCACACTAACTTTTTGACATCAGTCTCCAGTCCAATGCCTTAAGCGTCCCCCGAAGCCGACTCATTGAAGTACAATACTTCATCAGGGTGGAAGTGAGCGCTGGCCGATTCTCGGACGTGAAGGTTGATCTCCCGATTACTATCGTGAACCTAGTGTCTCTCTATCCACCTCGCGAATTAGTGCTGCACTCTCCATCTTCGAAAGTCCCTCGTCCCCCAGCTCAGCGTTCTAAGCCTGACGTCAGCATGCTTAGGCCTCCTGTGGCTCCTGTTTCAGTTCCTGTCGGGCCTGGACAGAGGAGCACGACTCCTCCCTTGTTACACGACACGAAAGATACTCCATATCGTAAAAATTCTGTCCTACCTAAAGGCATTCCCCGACAGGCACCTTTCCCGTCATCTCTACTCCCTCCTTCGCTGGCTATCGAACAGTCTCGACCTCTCAACCTAAGACCGGATCCTCATTTCCGACCCGCCTCATATCGTAAAAAGACTGCTGATGATTCTATGGGCTATTCTCAAGCGGTGGAATCGCAAAGCACGTCACCGCCTTATGTATCCTCCCCAATGGGACCAAGCGGGGAGGCAACATCATCTGCTTCGAAACTTTGGCAATCTATTATCCGCTCCAGTGAATTCAAAGATATAGTGGGCAGTCGCCAGAACACCAGTAGCACAGCGGATAAGAAACTCTATGCATCTTTTGGGATTTCTGTGGACTGTGATGGAAACACATCCGGCTCTGAGGATGATCTCAACCGCCTTATGGTCGCTACTCTATCCGAAGTATTGTCCCCCGATGACATACACTCAGAACCACTTCACCCCTCTCGGACTCGACATCCAGCGGAAAACACAAAGCCTGAACCCGGCGCTGATGTTCTCTCACTTGCGAGTCCATGTAATTTAAGTGCAGCTGAAGACAAAAATCAGTGCGCCGATACTCACATGGATCGGATTTTGCGACCAAATCCTGTGCAGGATATGCTGAACTCTGATTCCATGGAATCTGTTCGCAGTGCACCTGATAGTGAACCCAAACTCCGCGCCTCAAATCCGAGTCTTCCACAAGAGGGAAAACTCTCTGTCTTTGATTCCTTCTCCAAATTGCATTTATCGTCATCAGCAGTTCCTCCCAACGCAGCTACGGTGATATCTCCCAATTCTGGAGCAGATTCAGTGATCGCTTCCAAGACACGGAGCACTCCAGGCCCATCCCCTATGCCCTTAAACTCTGTGAAAGCAAGAGTGGCCATGCTTGAGCAAAAGAGTCGAAACGAACGCCTGGCAGTGCCAGCTTGGCGGTCCAAAGCTCTGAATCGCTAAACAACTGATATGGCACTGCAACGCTGGGCCAAAAGTATGGTTACCTTGTGGCTTCATTATTCAAGTGATTATGATCCTTCAACTTTGAAATTAATTCAGCTGATTTGTGTAGCACAAAATACCCGGCCGTGGGTTTTTACACCGTGCTTGCATCGAATCCTAGGATATCGGCATTAAGTATCCCTATCAGACGCGTCCAACCGGTCCGATGTCAGGGCTAGCGCGTCTCGACTAGTTTACCGTTGGCGCAAGCGCCGACGGAAGACCGAACGTCATTACTTACTGAGTATTGATCGAAATAGATTCTTATGAGTTAGATTTATTCAAATATACGTGGGAAGGACATTGTAACTATTGGAACTATGCTGTTGGTGTAGAGTGATGATACAATGATGACTATATGGAAAGTGATATGGGCGTAATTGAGTCCAAAGAATTTTGAGCTGTAATGGTATCGTCTGAGGAGTAATCGGGGTGGTCTGGAAGCACTGAATAATGTAGAGGGGATCTGTCCGCGTAAATCTGTGACGAAGATCGTAAAATGGGATTATTTTGTATGAACCGCAGACTCTTAGGTCCATACTGCCAACTAAATGGACGAGGCGATTTCCATACCGATGAGTATGGACAACCGCACCCGCTTAAACAAGTCCAAGCAAGGGTATACACGTACATTGTCTGTAGAGTGTTAAGCCGTCTCCGGGGCTGTAGTGAGAGTTTCCAGCCTGGGCATGGTCCCATAGGCGGACCCTGTGAACTGCCGCTCATCTAAATGAGCCGACGAGGACTTCCATAATTCGCACGGTCCAACAGTGCGCTCAGGTCCACAAGCTCTGGGCCCTCGCTACTCTCGATTTCGATAACGATACGGGAAGTCTTCGGGTATAATGTTCTGACGTAATCTTTGAACTGGGCGAATTGCTCGTATGGGTTCAAATTTCTTTGGGAACCTCCAGGAACATCGTTGCACAGCGCAGACATCGATAGGATCGGGGGACCTGGGTCCGGTGAGACAGGGAAATGGCTAGCCGCGTGCCCTTGGGCACAGTTGGACGCAGGATAATTCTCCGACCTGTAGCCCCAAAACTGCGGAGGATGGGGGCTCGAAGCTGTGAAAAGACTTTCCACTCCAGTCGCTTGAGACTGACGTGTCGACAACATCTCGTCGGGGGGATCAGGTATTCGTTCATACCGAATCCATCCCAGAACGAGCCTCCCGAAGGTCCAGGGGAATCGAGAGGAACAGTCAGATCGAGACGCCCAGTAGAATCTTGACTTCTGAGAGGTGGATTGCTCGTGGACGCTGAGGAGCTCAACGGCAGCCCAAAACTCTGCGGAAGGATGGGAAGATTAGTCTCTTCGATAAGGGTATTATCTGATGCTATAGGATAGCTCGAAGACGGTGGTGGCATATGCAAAACGTTTGAATGTGTTCCTGATTTAATCGAGGCTGGATCAGACCCTAATTGACTTCCCGTAGGCGGGGCGGCCCTCATCGATGTCACGGGATCCTGCCGCACTGATCGCGAGACCTTGTGTGACGCCCTAGATTCCACGGGTTTCGCCTTAGTCCTCTGAGCCATGGAAGCGGATAGGCCTAGGACGTTCCGATGAGCATTGTTCATCTGGAAAAGGGTGGTGAAGGCTCACTGGCATTGTACCGAGCCTTGCGGGCGGTCCTCGCGTCCTTGCGTCTCCTCAAGTTAAACTCATTCCGCGCTTGATCAGACTACCCATACGACCGACCCCATTGGCAGTCAGTAAGCTGGTAATTGACTTGTTGAATAACCGGTATGACACACCATCCCTTCCCACTGAAGGTTTTGGACGCAATGCAATGAAAGTCTCGCGCATTCTTTACAATACCCCCGCTCATCATAATCAAGGGGACATCGCTGGCCAGAAGGGAGAGTGTAAGACATTACGAAAACAGTGGGGAAACACGCGACCGACCTTCTTCCTTTCCGTACAAGTGCGGCATTTCTCCCCAGCCAACGCCCCAGAATGTTCGTCGGAGCCGAAATGTTCGGGGCCTTGCGTCGCTAGCGTATCTGCGCCGCGGTCAGTCGAGGTGATTCTGTGCCAAGTTCGTTGCACGTTCAGTGTGCTCAAGTCATTCGTCAACGTGGTGGCCACAGTCAGCACTGTGGGTGGTAACAGTGGGGTCGAACGCGGAACAACGGCCATAAGCTACAAGAAACTTTCGCGGACTCAGCCGCAGTATGAGGGCCTTGAAGAGGTAGCAATCACTGAGATCCATGGTGATTCGATGAAATTTATGCGGCCACACGAGGGGCCCGCGCGGAGAGTGCAGAGGAATTCCGGGGACCACATCTATATCCGTCGTTGTAAGCTGTGTGTCGCGCCATTATTGCGTTGTGCGCGCGCCATTCAGATGCTTATTAGATGCTGTGGTTTAAGTCCTTCGCTAGGGCGTCTATAATCGCGGCAAGCATCCAGACGCGGGAAGGTGTGTGAATAAGAAAACACAGCAGGTACAGCACCAATTGAGAGCACAAGGATGTAACGGTCCCAGTTGAACGATTACAGCGGCCCCATGAGTGATTAGAAGGTCATGTGATCATCCAATCATTTTAGTTGCACATGTGTCGCCAGTGTTGCACAAGACCAAGTCAGACTCGTGGTCACGGGGACTCTGAGTCAGATTGGGTCCGGACTGGGTGTCTCGGTCTGTCAGGTCTGAACTAACGGAGTTATAACGGACTAACGGATTTAGCTACAAGCGCTTGATGTGTCACCAGAAACATTCCACCCTGCCACCGTCTCTAAGCTCCCATCTAGGTCTAAGTTCCTCTCTCATGTTAAGAGGTCTTCCATCTCCGTTTCTAGCCCTCAGTTCCGCTCACCCTGCATCCACATTGAATCTCGCGTCAAGTTGAAAATATCTCGTACCCTTTTCCCCTGCAAACTTACGCCCTAACGGCAAGCTGTAAATAGATACTTTGGGAGGAATGGAAAATAGAACTTACTTGGGGGGATCTTGATGGTAGACTCCGCGCAAAATTCATTTCAGATTGTTCTGCATCGTAGTCACTGGTGAGGTCCTGGGCACGGAAAGGATGGTAGCCATGGTTTATGTCATCAGGAATGCAGGAGGGATGTCCATGCTCGAGCTCCAAACGGCCCCCAGAGGGGTCATGGTCGCTAGCGAAAGGAGCAAGTCCAAATGAACGACGGATTCTCTTCCCATGTGAACCATCGACTGCATGTTGGTGGTTGAGGTCTGGTTTGATAGATGAGATTTTCACCATCTTCTCAACAGATAGTCGATTGCGTGCGGGGTTCTTTGTGTCCCCAATGATAGAGAAGAAGTTATATGGACATGAGGCATCGGACTTGTTGAACGCTGGTCTAACCATGCTTGTCCTTCAGCACACCCCTCTACGGAAGCGTGTGTGCATTTCACAAGATGACAAGCCAGCTTTTCTACTGTTCCTTGAATATCAGATGCGAGTGCAAGCGCTTATGTTTGCCATTTGATGAATACCTCTCAAACCAAATTGATGAGATATACAATGCATACCAGCTTCATGTAGTTCATCCACTGAGCGTCGTTGTGTAATGCTTCCAGTTGAGATGCCCTCGGAATCCTTTGCCTCCAGTGTCCTTGTGTGCCAAGCCACGCATCCCTTGCACTTGGCAACGCGGTGGCTTTTATTATTTCCATAAAACCTTTCAAGTTGGTGGAAGTATTCCCACATAGGACTAGAAACGCCCATGGTGAGCTAGAGGAGGATGGGGGGTGGGATTGTGTGGGATTGTGTGAAGTTTTCGAAAATCCTAACATGAAACATGGCAAATCAGGCGGCAAAGTCACAGTTGTGTAACTCAAGCTGTAGTAGAATCATGCTCAGCATCTCTTGCGTGCTAGCAAACAGTCATTACAACATCTAATCCATAACAAACAAAACATATCCTATGAAGAATGGTTGCGGACGGGTCTGAATATCGGGATCCCCCGATGAAAAGTCCGACTTACACTGACCGTGGGAGAGACTTGTGACCATCCAGTCAGACTCACGGACTTCGGTCTTTGTGACCATTTGTGACCAGGTCTGTACAACACTGTGTGTCGCAGGCATTCGCTGTTGAAGATTCCGCCCCAGGTCCGGAGATGCTGCTTTCTCTTGTGACTTGGATTCCTCGCTATTGGTGTCGCTGATCCAAATTGGTCGTGCTGATTTTTTTGCGTACCGTTGTATGTGACGAAAAAGGAGATCGGAACAAGTGGCTGTATTGCACCATTCCCAACTCAATGGCGACCACGACGTGAATGGTCAATCTCCCGCGCGTCCAGAGACCTCGTGGACGCGCGCTTTGAAGGGCTGTGTGATACAGCTTTTCGGAGTAGCTATACCGATACAGAGGAGCCTTCATGCCTGGCGCACAGGGAGGCTTTGTTCCATCTCGCTTCCGCGCGTACCTAACGCCGGGTGCATCATTTCACTAATGAGGGGAGGAAATTGCATGAAAAATCATGTCATCAACATGTTACAGCCAAGCGCCTGTGCTGATGTGTTAAAAGACTGAGCTACCAGATCAGCGAATACCATAACTCACCTCTGAGGGTTGGCTTAGTTATACAAATCCTAATATCCCGACCGATATGGCTACCCACCTAGCTAGCTGCTCGTGCAATGGGGTACTTTGCGCCCCCTATCACACTGGCTTCTTATGTCTGACATGTTCCACGTAGTGCTGGCCATCTTCCTCCGCCTTAGACGCCCCTAGCCCGATTCACGCCGAGCCGGTATGCGCGTTAACCCTCTCCGAAAATACAGCCCCTCACCGTTTTGGGCCAGAATCTTGGGGAGTTCTCTAGCACTGGTTTCGGCACGGCATCATGCCCACTTCTCGAATCCCGTACTCATGGTAATGCCTATTTCCATGCACTATCTTGGGTTTATCTGGTATTGAAGGAGCCGAAGGGGACTCTATTAGATCACCGGAAATTCAGCCTAGGACTCCCAAAACGAATCGACACGTTCATCGTCGTCAGCCGTCCCGGACCGCCCTGCGGAACTCCTCGCAATCGCAATACCAGCGTTCCGCCCAATTGGCCTCCCCTAGATTCGAGCTCAAGAGGCTAAATAAGCGGAAGTCAACAACTGAAACCACTAAGGCGGTTGGTCAATCTGGCGGCAGTGGTATGGGATCCTCCCAGAACGACGAAGTTAACGGATCAGTAAACTCGCCCTCGGCAAGCTGGCACAATAACAGCATATCATGTCATGGTGTCCAATTGGTTATTGAGCCGGAAGTTGGTTCGAACGATGCTCCTGCTTTCCAAGAGGCTACGCAAAAAAACCCAGATGCAAATGATCCACACAAAGATCCTCTTCATCATATCCCTGATCGATTCTTAGCTTTCCTTGCTTCCCATTTCCCCGGTGTTTCCCGCGTGGTTGTCAAGGTTGGGGAACCCGAACCTTATAATACCCTTTGTTCCCTTATGGATCAGGTTGATCTCCAGACCCTAGAGGTGTCTACAGTCGGAGACAACGATGCGTCAATTCCGAGGTCTTTTCGCCGTTCCCAAAGCGGTCTGGTTCTTGGTCGTCTTTGACCATTGCATCCCTTATACGTGCCGTTCCTGTCTTCGGCCCCAATGCGGGCGAAAGGACCGTGCAATCGTTTGGACGAATCATCTTGGTAACAGTGTGTCACATCCCGGCGTCTTACGTCCCCCTTAGGGAGAACCAAAACTTTTGAACCAACAATTGTAAAGTCCATTTGTCACAGGCGCGGCTGATCGTTAACAACCTTTCATGTAGTGTTTGAGAACATCAGTGCAACCCTGCTCTCATCCTATTGTGTTCCTTGTACGCCCCACCTCCCAGATTTTGAGCGCTTGTTTGGAGGTGCCACACTAGCTTGTATGTACGTCAGTCAACATGTTGAAGACTCTTGGAAACCTGAAAACACCCATGGAGGCGCTAGAATTGTGCTGATGAGCCCCCTTGCTCCCAGTCGTATAGCCGTTGCGGACGCCCCTTGTCTTATAATTGACCTCTAGACTAATTGCTGACCCACCTGTCAGCAAATCCGACCTACACTTGCCGGGAGAATTAAGCTGGCACGTGGCGCGTTACTTGAGTTTGAAGGAAATAACGGTGCCATTGCGTAAATTTTACTACGAGCTCCGAGCGCGAGGGCCGGACGGGATTGGTGGCCATACACCCTCTGTCAGAAGTACCCAACGGCAATCCCAACCCAATGGATAGGCTATGGTTTTGTGAAATCCATTGCTATGATCCTCGGGTGTCAGTAATTGGGGCCTCTGGGTTCGTGCGGATCTATCACTCAGTACACGTAACAGATTTTCATCATTTTATTTTAGTCAGAGCAGGAAGTTCTCGGATGCGTGTAATTCAGAACAATTCGTGTTTCCTTGAATTTGCTATAGCCCAATTCTAGTCTGGTGCAAGTAAGGCCCCGCTTAATCTCAATGCTATATTTGTTCCCTTCGAAAATAGTTCTCGAATTCGAAGGTGATGTCCCGAAGACTAACGAGACGACCACTTCAAATTGCATCTCAGCGATAGTAGATTGATCCCACGCATATAACGATCCCTTGTCACGAATGCGCCTCCTTCTGCCTCAAAATCGGTTTCATCCAGCTCTTCACATACCTTCTTCATTCTACCGTAGGCGAGCATCCTGGTGCGCCAGGTTGCTCCCACCTTTTCCCTTCCGCGCAGTGATCTTGGCATACGCTTTCACGTGTGATACCCAACTGCGATCTTAGCGCACCAACGACCCTTCCCGACACCATACTAACTCAGCAGTTTGCGACAACCATCTTAAATGGTTACGAGGGACGTCACGGAACAACAAATCCATTAAACCACTACTCAGCACAAACAGTGCCATTATGTGCAGAAAAGATGGTATATTCAGAAGTGATGCATGATTGAAGGGCCTGGTGTCATTTTCCTTTTTTGTCGTTGTTCCTAGCCAGGGCGGTACTTTCAGCAGAATCCCATCAGATTTCCTTTTTTGGGTTCGAGCCACGGTGAAAAAAAAAACCCGCCAGATTTCATTGGAACGACCGACCACAGGACGGAACGTTCTAATCATTACACATTCCAGGCATGCGGGTACGTAGCAAGTATCGGTTCTCCGGACTTCACATTGATTGGATGGCACGAAAAACTAGAAAGAAAGAAAAACCAACGGATCGCATTCACAAGCGGCTTCGTGGATGACCTAGCATGTGGCTGAGCTGATCTCGGGGCTGGCGGTTACGCGTGTTCTGTCGAAGGACAGGGAATTGGTCCGCAGCGCTGTTGGTCCTGACCACTATCCTACGAAGAGTAGGGTATTGGACAGCGAGGGCATCGAGACATTGCTTCGTTACCGGATCTTCAAGGAGATGCCTGGAGAGACAGGGATCGGGAGAATCCAACTTGCAACGAGAGTTGCCTCTGCGTACAATGGAATCACGCATCGAGAGATCACAGGTCGTATGATCCACAATAAACTCGATCCCAGAGTACGTTGGCACAGATGAGCAATTCTGTTGGGAGACGTCTGGATGGGCGCAATTGTTATATGGATCTTGATGTCCGGTAACTTCTTGGGGGTCCTTTCCGTCCCCTCCAGTAGAAATGCTAAGGTCCACATCATTCGGAGGGGGATTGTCTCTTTGATAGAGCGGATAGGCGCTAGTGCTATGACGCCAGGGGGGCAGTGGGGGAGGCGAATGGACTAGTTCCCCGGACCACGGGATGCGGCGAATATGCTCTAGACCATTAACAGGGAGTGCGATTATGATCAGATATACGAGATAGCTTTATATGGGGCATACTCTTCGCGGTTCCGAGGTCCAACTTTTGAAGCTGTTCGCTAGCAATCGCAAGCGCCCAATCGAGTTCGGGGCGTTCATAATGACCTGTCTTTCCGTCCCCTGGAGCAGAGCAAATCTTCAGGCCGACATCGTTCAAAGGATCGGGGGTGTTTCGCAACGATTGCCTAGTGAAACGCACGATTGAAAACGAGTCGGGACTCATTGACAGCTTTAAGATGAGGATGCGATTAGCTGGACCTGCAATCGACGAGCCTGAGTCTAACTCATTTGTCGCTGACGAAAATTGCGGATTAACTAACGGCAATGGCGGCACACCGTACAAACTCTTGCTTCCTTGATTTTGTCACAGCTCCATTCCACCCGCGCACAGGTTTCAAATCTCCGTACCCTCCAAGGGGAAATGGAAATGCATTGGTCCATCAGACTCCCCAATTTGATTACGCAGGGGCCCCATCTCAGCAGCTACCGGCATCGGAGAACGTAGACGAAGATGACGAAAATGGTTCCTGCTCCCTTACCGCCGCAAGCGATTTAAGTGGTTTCAGCCTCGCAAGAGGGATATCGGAGTGGAACGATCCAATGGAAGGCTCTTCTATCAGTACGTTCGTTTCACGATCTCCTGAACCGGTGTGCTTTCCATATTTCTCTTTCTCCGGCGCAGACTCCGTTGGGCCCGACCAGAGCCAAGACAACTCTTTAGGTGGAAGCGCATGGGACCATCAGGCTCCTCAACTTTCCTATTCAGAAGCCTCATCATCCCAGCGGCTGCCCACATTCCAAGAGATGGGGGATGATAGTGGCAGTTGTTTGCCCTTCTTTACCACAGGCAATCCCAACAATCCCAGTATTGCAAGAGAGGGATTGGAATGGGACGGTTCTACTACGGGCTCTCTTACCAGTACGTTCTGTTCTACTGTAACTTGCCCTATTTCTCTTATCTGCGCA